AATCAAGAAAGATGGTTACAAAGGTAACCTAACAAAATGAAAGTAAATATTTAAATGTTTTTTTTAAAGAACCAAAAACAAAACTGTTAACAATTAAACATGCTTTAGTGTTTAGTTTTAAGACCACTAACCTGCATTTTAAAAGGAGTTAAAATGTAAAACTAAAAAAGACTGTTTTAACTGCATGAAGGAAGGGAAATGTGACCAATCTAATCACTGCTTTAGGTGCAGGAGTGGAAGCATTACCTGAAAGGGTGTAGTGTGACATGTGCGAGAAAAAATGCACCAGCTGTCAGCTTGGGAAACTGGAGGAGTTCACACTGATGGGACTAAAGTGTGCCATCCTTACAGAGCCATAGAACACCAGAAATCTAGATTAAGTCATAATGTTATAGAGAGGAAAGCTGAAAACAAGCAGAAGCAATCAGTAGGTGTCAGTAATATGCCAGTTAACACTGAGGCAGTGTTCCATGGCAAATAACCTGGTTGGAAAAATAATGCATAATGCAGAGTCTTCTGCACTGAAACAAAAGAGTTGTGGGATACGGGAGCTCATGTCTGAAAACCTCTGGTGTGTCACACTTGATGTTTCTTTCAGATTGTCTTCTGGGCCCACTACACTTGGAATACACACTTTGTAAGTAGGTGGAATCAACAGATTAAATAAACCAAAGGTTTTGCTATGAAATTTATGGAGTAGTTATCTGACCTCAATCAACCTATGCTTAAAAAGTATAAAATACTGCAGTTATGTCTAGTGGCTTCATATTGGATAAAGAATCTTGTTGTGTAATAGAATCGTGAATGTGGTGAAACTGAGATCACGCTGGGAAGATAAGAAAAACAAAGTGGTCAACAGAAAAACTGAGCGAGTGAGCTCAATAGTGCATGTAAAAGCATGGAAAGGGCAATCACAGAATACTGCACTGAAATCTGCTGCTCTCTTAAGACAGTATGTCCTTAGAATCTCCAATGCAGAATTAAGAACCAAGGAAAAAACAAAGTCCAACAGCAGACGGCAAATAATGGCTCAGAAACCAGTTGAACCCCGTGACAGACAATGAAGATGAGTGTGTACAGTTGTAACTTCTCAATATTGTGGTCCAGTCTGCAACACCAAATGTGAAGCTGGTAACCTGATAGATGAGTGTTACGATCTAAATCAATTTTTCTATCCACAAGTTTATCTTGATGTCACTTGCACTTCTGCAATAAGCCTTATCCTGCTCTGGTGAGAGCTGCTGACAGCAAGGTTGCAAAAGTCAGATCCAGCACTTGTAATAAAACAGTGTTTCTTACTCTCTTTTGTAATATTGTTGGCTTTTACAGTAGTTCCTCAATGTTTAGCAAGAACATTGACTTTCAGTACCTAATCTGTGAGCAGAGAGAAAGATAGCCCAGAACTGTTTAGTGTGCAACTACTGTTGGTACCAATCCATCTGTTAGCCTAATGATGTGTGGTGAATTTGTGGCTATACTTGTATTTGTGAAATTTCTATACTCCAAAAATTAAATAATGCTCAGATTGAAAAGGAGGCTTTAGTTTTTCTCATTTGAATTCCACATTCAGGACACAAAAGCTACAGGTCCTTCTTTTTTATTCTCAACTGCATCAGACATATCACTGCACCCAAACCAGAAGGTAATGCATCACAGGATAATAAATTAATAAAATATCCAGGTCTTTGAGGGAAGCAATATTCATCCCAAGGTGATACCAATCTGGCATGATGTGACGTGGAAAATTAACAAAGGACTCTAAAGAGCTGCACAGATTAAATCAAGAGATGCTAAGCAGGACACTTGAGAGAAATGACATTGAGACCAAGGCGAAGAAATAACTTTTGTTTTAACTAAAAGCAAAAGAGAGACATAAAAGGTAGAGCTGTAGATCGGGAAATTGGCTCCAAAAGACAAGTATATCATGAAAATAAGAAAAATCAATGAAGCACAGAACAGTATTGTAAACGAAAAACAAAATGCTAGTTTTCAGTAGATATTCAAATAGACGTCAACACACGCTACAGGGGAAAAGAGGTAATGTTATAAAGCATTTATTATGTTGTTGACAAACATGGACAAAAACTATGTGACCTGAATGAAGTACTGAAGAGGAGGTACTGTATACTAGAGCAAAATTCAAAGGACATTCTATGTCTGAAGGACAATAGTAGCTTTTATTTTTTCTAAAAGGTCAGCCTATCTAAACTAATATGTATGAAATACTATGGATACTGAAAGAAAATCTTGTTTTCATTCACAATTCTCAGGTGAACTGAAATCTAGTAGCTATTACGGCCAGCAGCCATATCACCCTGCAACTCACAACTGGCAACCCAATGAAGCTAAGCAGGTGTGAGCCTGGTCAGTACCTGGATGTGAGACCTCCTGGGAAAAACCAAGGTTGCTGCTGGAAGAGGTGTTAGTGGGGCCAGGAGGGGGCGCTCACCCTGTGGTCTGTGTGGGTCCTAATGCCCCATTATAGTGATGGGGACACTACACTGTAAACAGGCACCATCCTTTGGATGGGCGCTTCTCAAAAAGAGTAAGGGTGTAATCCTTACCAATCATGGCCTCCTAATAATTCCCCTCTATGAATTGGCTCCATTACTCTGCTCTCCTCCCCACTGATAGCTGATGTGTGGTGAGCGTTCTGGCGCACTATGGCTGCTGTTGGTGGTGGAGGGGTCCCCATTACCTGTAAAGTGCTTTGAGTGGAGTGTCCAGAAAAGTGCTATATAAGTGTAAGCTATTATTATTATTATTATTATTATAGTTCAGGTGGGTAGCTGCATCAGCATGCGTAGGCCGCAAAGGAACAAGTAATAGGTTTATTCCACGCTGAAAAAAAGAAGAGAACACAACGTTTCGGTCGTGGACACGGCCGAAACATTGTGTTCTCTTTTTTTTTTTGGAAGCATCATATTATTATTATGATGATGGTATTAATGTGCTGATAAATGTGCCGGTGTTGTACATGAAATTAGCCTTAAAATTATATCAAATATAAAAATACGTTGAACATACCTACCATATTTAATATTCTCAAAATGTTGACCGTATTTCAGTGTTAAAAAACTCTGACATACCGTATTTACGATACGTAACATCAGACTGAACGATCTGTGAGTACCTTTTAACCAGTCCTTATTGTATGGGTAGCAACAACCCAATAAAAAATAGTATTAAAAGCAAACCAGAACTAGATAGTTAAAACTAAACATCCATTGTGACAATAAATTATTTATTGTATAATAAGTTATGTTATTGTATAATAAAAAGGGGTGGTAATATTATTATTATCGTTTTTTTTAAATTAAAACAGCACTTTAAATATTTTTCTTTTTTCATACTCTCCTAAATTTTATAACCACATATCGACACAATATTTAATCGTAAATTCAAAATTAAGAATGTTCTGGATTGTACACATAAATTCTAATGCAGCTCAAGAAAATATATTTAACTACGGAGGCAGTTGCGCAGTTGCTATGGAAGCAGCTTGTTGCACGACAACCGAAAACGAAGCCCGGCAAGAACACCGCATTTAACATCCTGTGACGTCAGGAACCCGGGCGGGGTTTATGCAGAAATTTCTGGAAAAACCTAAGCACGCATTCGCGGGTATGTCTGTATCCTTCCGTTGGAGTAAGGAGTTCCATAATGAATCACACGTGAGAAGTAGAAATGTAGCGCATATCAATTCAGCCATGAAGAATTTGGTATTATAGAAAAAAATCATTTTGGAGTTAAAGATGGGAAGAGGATATTAACAAAATATCACAAGTAAAATATAACCAAACGTTAACGTAAAAGCGATATTGGTATATTATGTATTAAGATTCATACCATAGCATTCAGATATACACCGTATGTACTGTACTTTACACCCCTTCTCGTGACGTCCCTTCTGAAAAATGAAATACAGTAAATTTGTACCGTATTCCGCACGGTATTATCCATTATCCTTTCTATTTTTTAAAGAATTTACCACACTTTACAAATTTAGTATGTTTCCAAGGTTTCTAATGGTGCCTTGCAATATTTCTCCATGTTCACCGTGATGTGTTCATGGTTTATACACTTCTACTTTTCCTGCCTTAAAGATACAATAAAAAAGTTGTGATATTTTTTTTAATTTGCCTCTTAAAAGCTATAGGACAATTTACTGTTGTTGTTTCATCTGTTATCTTATCAACAGTCATCATTAGTATCACAAGACAGTTCTGAAAATAGGCTCGGGGTAAGTGTTTTGCCAACAGGCAGATTAATGTACAGTATCATATAGCAATGTTGACGTTTTGATATTCATGATAATTTTGATTTGGAAGTAGCAGCTACTGCCAGATACTAGTGCTAGATCCCCAACCTCATTTCAAAGCCACACTAGATTTATGTATATTCACATAGATTTCCAACACAATGGTGTTATTGAGATTTTTTGGATATATGTAATAATACAACAAAAATATTTTCTTTGCGACGAAAAAGCGATTTTATATATATATAACATGGAAAAGTACCACATCTCACGTTTTTTTGTTTCATGTACAATGCCCTCAAATTTGAGTATCACTTTATCATCTTTTTTACCCTACAAGGCTGCAAGGCTGCAAATCTTCGAGGGTTGGTGTGTTGGCAGGTTGTCATAGTCTCTATAAATCATCAGTACCCGACAAGATGGGGAAAGTTTTGAACTGGTGCAATAAAACCCATAATAGACTGACAAAGAGCCAAGCAAGAGCAATGACCTTAAGACAAGAGACTGCAGCCTTAAGCACAGTGGTGCTGTGTTTATGATTGGTTTTAGAAAACCCTATACAATGATTTAAAGGCTAATACTGTATTTACTTATTTCTAATTACGTATTACGCACTACACAATACACAGACCTGAATAAATACCCATTCCAGTTTCTCATTGGGAGGCTGCAAGAACAGGGAAATAGCGCTTGTTTACGCGGATGGATACATCGGCAAGCGCAGAGGGTATAAAGATACTGTCTTTTAAAAGGAAATCCCTTTCAGTTTCTCAGCGTCAGAGTGCTTGGGGATCAGCCTGTGTGGTTGCATTTATTTCAAGAAAAGAACAACAGCTAAAACGTTAAAGGTACGTTTCTTTCCCCTTTATGAGTGTTATATGTGGTATTTATAGGTGAGCATAATAATTTTGTAAAAAAAAAGTACATTGATGAGAGATGAGGTTTCGAAAGAGTGGTCCAAGGTACAAGGCTGCCTCCTGATCGCTGGATTGAATGAGAAGAAACATAAAACATGGGAGAAAAGAAATATCTAGTTCCCCGAAGCTGGGAATGTTCCAGCTTATTAGTGATCAGAGTAAATTTCTCTCAAAGGTAGATATGAGTCTAAAACGTTGTTTAGTACAATGGTTTCTGATGGAATCGTGATGATTAACTATTTAATTCTATAGATACATTTCCAGCACCTCCGATTGACATTAGTTTGCTGTAAGAGATCTAAAACTTACAGACGTTCCCGGTTTGTTCCATGAAATAAGTACATCGCTAGCTCTGACGTGAATAACATGCTGTATCACGCTTTGTCTTCCTGTATGTGAACGATTTATCCGTGGACATAAACAGTAAAAAATGTGTAATCGACTGGATAGCGTTATGTTTTTTTTTAGATAAGCCGAAGTGAAAAAGATGTGCTATTCTTTCACTTGCAGCATAGTTATTATTTATTCTTGTTAGAAGGTTAAACCCACGTGTTCTACGTTAAACTGCATAGCAGGTGCCGCCATATTGTTCGGCTCCGGCGTCACTTCCGTCTCGAATGTATTGAATGATTGTGCGGAAAATAAAATGGAGTCTGTCCCTTCCCTTTCTTTAAATTACCGTTGAAGATCGTGCTATTTTTAACACGATCTTCGCTCCTTTGTTGCTTAGGAGGTATGTTTAACTTGCATTCCCAGCTATGATTGGGTGCCACTGTGCTGCCAAAAGCTGGCACACTGCAGGTGAAGGCTGGAGAATGCTGCATTGCGCCACACTGTTCATTTTTCTCTTGCTGTACTCGATAACGCAGCTCGAAATTCAAAGAAAGGTTTCATTTTACCCCGAGACTCGCGAGTCTGTTTTTGGTTGAGGTTCAGTTAAGGTGTCTCATGTATTCACAATAGCTCATTTATAAGCAGTTGTCTTTGGATTTAGGTTTGCTTTATTTAATGGCTTATTGTGTGAAGCTCAGTTGTTGGAGTAGTTTGCTGCTGGTCAAAATTTACATTTGAAAAATGTAGTTAATTTATTGTTAAACAATAGAATTTTCCTTAATCTTCCAGAGTACAAAATCAAGACGTGCTGTATGTAATCCAGGGATAGGCAAGTCAAAGCGGTTGTCAGTTACTGCTCAGGGCTGCACAAATACCCTTTCTTGGTGATCCCTTTCCCATCAGTGTCTTATGTGATGTTGGCACACCCTGTAGTCCCAAGGTGCCTTGTTAACCCTGATATCCTGTCTGAATTCCACACTGGAAAATGTTCTGTACTTAATCTGCTGTGTAGTGGGGCTGCAGGCCGCTGTATGTCACCCAGTTGGGTGCTGCACTCCAGGGTGGCTGAACAGGGCCCTTTATTTAGTCTCCGCTGTTCCTTAACCCCTGTATGTATTTGTGTAAAAATAAGTGAGTGTTTCTCATCATTCTTTTTTTTTACTTTTTATTTTTTAGATGCCTGAAGAAATGCGCCAAGAAGAGGAGGCTGAGACTTTCGCCTTCCAGGCGGAGATTGCTCAGCTGATGTCTCTGATCATCAACACTTTCTATTCCAACAAAGAGATCTTCCTCAGGGAGCTGATCTCCAATGCTTCTGATGTGAGTCCCCTGTGTCTCAGGATTTTTGGTCACATGTGATTGAACTTCTATTTAATGAACCCTACCTCCATCGAGCTTGGTTCAATGTTGCTTTATTTAAAAACAGCTGTGGCTGTTTTGTAATATACCTCTTGCTTACATTTTAAAAGTATTGTAAAAATATTCTTATTTGTCTCTTGATTACCTAAACACCTCTCAATCCTGTCTGCTTTATTAAAATGTAAATGTTATGGATTTTTAGGCACTGGACAAAATCAGATATGAAAGCTTGACCGATCCCTCCAAACTGGAAAGTGGCAAGGACCTCAAGATTGATGTCATTCCAAACAAGAATGAGCGTACCCTGACTCTTATTGACACTGGAATTGGGATGACAAAGGCAGACCTCATCAATAACTTGGGAACCATTGCCAAATCTGGCACAAAGGCTTTTATGGAGGCTTTGCAGGTATTGCATCACAAAGCTGAGAAATGCATTAAAATAATTTACATTAATAATGTAACGTCTTAGCGGTGCCATTGCACAAACAGTTTAATAGTAAATGGCTTTTGTTGGTTAAACTCTTATCTCAATGTTTGCTCTTCCAGGCTGGTGCTGACATCTCCATGATTGGGCAGTTTGGTGTGGGGTTCTACTCTGCTTATCTAGTAGCTGAGAAAGTTGTGGTCATCACAAAGCACAATGATGATGAACAGTATGCCTGGGAGTCATCTGCTGGAGGATCCTTCACGGTCAAGGTTGACCATGGTATGTGGCTTTGTTAGATGACAAATTAACCTTTTTTATTACCTTAAATTCAACAGCTTTTGGATTTTCATCCTGCAAAGTGGTCAGGCCATAAAACTGGTGGCAGAGCATTATATTTTCAAAATCATTCATATTTGGAGTGGTACCTGTTGCCAGGTGAAACCCTTTTCTCCAGAACACTTTACTTTTTGCCAAAGACTTACTAAAAAGCAGGACAACACTCTTGAAGCTGTAGAAAACAAGAACCTTTAACTAATAAAACTTTTTTTGAAGGTGAGCCCATTGGTAGAGGCACCAAAGTCATCTTGCACCTGAAGGAGGACCAGACTGAGTACATTGAGGAAAAGAGAGTCAAGGAAGTTGTGAAGAAGCATTCACAGTTCATTGGGTATCCGATCACTCTGTTTGTAAGTATTTTGAAAATTGGCCTTTTCTCTGTACAGTGCTTGTGTTCATAGCAAATGATTTTTTTCCCCTTGCTTTTAAGCTCACAAAAGAGACTTTACTCACTTTGTTCCAGAACATGTAATGTTTAAAAAACAACTGTCCACCAGGAATAATAATGCAGCATGCAAGCTTTAAATGAATTGCTCAGTAGTTTTTATGGTATTGTTTATAGTTACAGGCAAAACGGTGAAAATTGGTACAACTTGCTTTTAAAAGCAGAATTTTGGGAAAAGCCTTCAGCCTTTCTCCCATGATCACGTTTCACTCCGTTACAGGTTGAAAAGGAGCGGGAGAAGGAAATCAGTGATGATGAGGCAGAAGAAGAAAAAACTGAGAAGGAAGAGGAAAAGGAAGATGCCGACAAGCCCAAGATTGAAGATGTAGGCTCTGATGATGAAGAGGAATCTGCAGACAAGAAGAAGAAGAAGAAGATCAAGGAAAAGTACATTGACCAGGAGGAGCTGAACAAGACCAAGCCCATTTGGACAAGAAACCCTGATGATATCACCACTGAGGAATACGGAGAGTTCTACAAGAGCCTTACCAATGATTGGGAGGATCACTTGGCTGTGAAGGTATAACAATAGCCGCCTTGCAGAGTAGAGATGTACTAGTACAGACAACTGTTGTTGAACATTCTTTGCTATTTTAGCAGTAGAGCATTCTTGTATTGAGGGAGCTTATGACTAAGCTGTGATTTGGCAACACCAATCTACAATCTGTATATTTTATCAAGCACATGTATTTTATAAGGGAGTTTCAGACTTCAACTGGTGTTTTGTTTGAGTAGGTTGGCTCGTGTTCAGCTTTGTGCTCACTGATATGGTAGTGGACTAATTTTCCAAGATGGTCATCATATAATATCCCCTTATTTGAGTGAGAAAGTTACGCTGTTTCTAATTGATTAGTTATTTTTTAGCCAAAATACAACTGTTCTTTAATATTCAGCCCATAATTGGCAATGGGATGTAAAGTTGGCAATTAAATTTAATTAAATGCATTAAATTTAATTCCTGAATATGATGCAAAGATACATGCCATTATTTTGATAATGGCCATGCATTTACTGTGTGTGAATTATCCATTTTCTTTTTTTAGCACTTCTCAGTGGAGGGTCAGCTAGAATTCAGGGCTCTGCTTTTCGTTCCCCGTCGTGCGCCCTTTGACCTCTTTGAGAACAAGAAGAAGAAGAACAATATCAAGCTGTATGTGAGGAGAGTGTTTATCATGGACAGCTGTGAGGAACTCATCCCTGAATATCTGAGTAAGGAACTCTTCTGCTTTTATACGATCTGTATGCAGCCCATCATGCTTTGCATTTTGGGGGTTTACACGATTTGCCTCCTGTCTTATAGAAACCAGCAGCAATTCTAAAAAATGAGCTTAACTTCCAAAGTTCATCCAAACAACACATGAAAAGACATAAGTTACATAATGAAAGGCATTAAGTAACTTGGTTCCTAAAAATTGCTTCCATCCAAAAAAAACTTTTGGTCTACATCTTCTCTCTTTCTGGCAATAAGGAGGACAGACATTTTGCTCCTTTGGTAGCACATCCCAGTCTGCTTCTGTTTCCTGCGCTGCAGCACTCCAGAATATACTATAACGCCAGAACATCGGCTGTTGCTATAAGTTCTTCCTTGTTTTCTGGGTCCTGTTCTCCATCATCTGACCACTTTCAGGTGGAGCATCGTGGTTGCCAGGGCAATACGGCTGCCAGAGTCTGCCCGAAATAGCCAGAGCACTTAATATGCTGTAAGCAGTGCTTTTGTCGTTGGCATTTATGTAAATGGTAAATGTCATGGTTAATTGCCGGTATAAACAGGTGCCTGCCATAACTGTGTGGTATCTTACCAAATCTTCTAAATGATTATTTGAAAAGACCGAAGCACTGTAATTAGTGGCTGACGAGCTTACTCTTTGTCAGTTAAGTACGCTGGCCTAAATCTGAGAAATACAAAAGCATTAGTAAAGGTATGTGATTTCTAGGTCTCCTGCTAGTTTTGTGTTGTGAGTTTTGGTTTGAAAATGTATTGCTCCCTCTTCTAGACTTTGTACGTGGTGTGGTGGATTCTGAAGACCTTCCTCTCAACATTTCAAGAGAAATGCTCCAACAGAGCAAAATCCTCAAGGTGATTCGCAAAAATATTGTGAAGAAATGCCTTGAACTCTTTGCAGAGCTGGCAGAAGACAAGGAAAACTACAAGAAATTTTATGATGCTTTCTCAAAGAACCTCAAGGTAATTCATTCCTGCTTTGTTTCTACCAGTTTTTGTAACGAAGCAGTCATCTGGCTGTAATGTTAATATAATGCTTCAGGATACAAAAGTTTTTTTCAATGTTTACATTTTTATTTAAATGTTTAAAGTGAGATGTCAGACTCATGGTTGTTGAGAAGTGCCTTTCCAATCTCCATTTTATATCATTGTTCTGAAGCTCCATTCTAATTGTGGGTGTGTTGTGCTTGTTGTAATTTCTGTCCTAGTAATGGTCTCTCTCTTTGTAGCTTGGTATTCATGAAGATTCACAAAATCGCAAGAAACTGTCTGAGCTGCTGCGTTACCACAGTTCTCAGTCTGGGGATGAGATGACCTCGCTCACAGAGTACATCTCCCGAATGAAGGAGAACCAGAACTCCATCTACTACATCACTGGTAAGTGTGATCAGTAATACCCTTTTGTCCTCAGGCCTGCGTTTAATCTTTAAATTCATACCAGGTGAAATCCATTTGAGATTCTAGAGTTAGTTTCTCGGCTAGGTATTTTTTAGCAAATGTTCTGTTTTTGTGATTTGTAAATGCTTATTCTTCTCTTAGGTGAGAGCAAAGACCAGGTTGCCAACTCTGCGTTTGTGGAACGCGTCCGCAAGCGTGGCTTTGAGGTCCTGTACATGATCGAGCCCATTGACGAGTACTGTGTCCAGCAGCTGAAGGAGTTTGATGGAAAGACTCTGGTCTCGGTTACCAAGGAGGGGCTAGAGCTACCTGAGGATGAGGTGGAAAAGAAGAAGATGGAGGAGGACAAAGCCAAGTTTGAAAATCTCTGCAAGCTTATGAAAGATATCCTAGAAAAGAAAGTTGAAAAGGTATAATTTATATAATGGAAATGTAATGCTTGTCTTTTTGCGCAGGAAAGTTGAACTTTGTCATTTAAATAAGGTACTTCAGTCTTCTAGATTAGCAAGTTTTCCCTGTGCTCCTAATGTTCCAGTGGAATATGTGAAAATCTCCAGTGATGCACATTATAAATGTAGTCTTCTAAATTATACCAGTTTGAGGAACCTTCCCCTAATAAGGCATTTTAAAAAATGCATTGTATTGACTGCTTGAAATTCCCCTTTAGTTTGGTTTCATGAAATTATATTAGTTGCCCGAAGCAGTTTCATTTGGGTGATTCATGATTCATGGGTTATTTAAATGTTAATATTAATGTCTATAATTCCCTCTGTCAATTATTATCCTGGTTTTATCACTGAAGAGATGTCAGAATGACTATGCTTTTAACTCAGTAAGCAAAACTTTGATAATCAGGTTCCCTTTAGGAAATCCCTGTAGTTAAAATGTCTGTTTGTCAGTTGGGAAAAGGAAACATTTTTCCATGTTAGATGCACTATTTGTGCACAAGCTGGTTTGGTTTGAATGACCGGGGAGGGGAGTAAAACATCATTTTTATAAATTAGTTCTGGCTTTGTGTGCTTTGAAAAATTAGGCAAGGTTAGTCAGAACTGCAAGTTTGCGACCTACCCTAGTGCTGATCTAGAAGGGTGTATAAGACATTCTGTTAAATAATTCACTACACATTTTTTGCTGTTTTCCAGGTCACAGTATCCAATCGCTTAGTCTCCTCTCCCTGCTGCATTGTCACAAGCACCTATGGCTGGACTGCCAACATGGAACGCATCATGAAAGCACAGGCCCTGAGGGACAACTCCACCATGGGCTACATGATGGCCAAGAAACACCTGGAGATCAACCCTGATCACCCCATTGTGGAGACCCTGAGGCAGAAGGCTGAGGCAGACAAGAATGATAAGGCTGTGAAGGATCTGGTTGTCCTTCTCTTTGAGACAGCCCTGCTATCATCTGGCTTCTCCCTTGAAGATCCCCAGACACATTCCAATCGCATCTACAGAATGATCAAACTTGGCTTGGGTACGAATTTTTTTCTCAAATTTATTAAATATAATGTAGATGCAGCAGAACTGATTTTTATATTCTTTTAAAAGAGAATAACAATGAAATGAAAAGAACAAAATCAAATACACGTACAATCACAGCTATGTCAGAGTTTATCCTGAAGTGCACTTCTAAAAGAAAAAATGGCTTAAGCACATTGATTTGATCTACTTTTTAAATCAATGTTTTCAAAGGCTTATTTCAAAGTTCTTTTCGGATGAATTGTAATTCCTCTAAAGAGGACAAGTTATTAACATGACTTTCCACCTTTCCAGGAATTGATGATGATGATGTCCCCATAGAAGAGCCCAGCAGTGCACCTGTTCCAGAAGAGATCCCACCTTTGGAGGGGGAGGATGATGCTTCCCGCATGGAGGAAGTAGACTAAAGACTTCTTCAAAGCCTTTCTTTTACCTCCGTTTCAGATTGTCTAAGTCCTGTCCCCCCCAGCCCAGTGTATGGACAATCTGGTCACCACCAGAAAGTTCTAAAACAATTTATACAATAGATACTGTAACAATCGCCCAGTGTTGCCCTCTGTTTTGTGCCTTCTTTCAAGGTTTTAGTGTGTTTTTTTTTTTTTGCAAGGCCTAGTTAGCAGCTGGCAACACTTGGTGGTCGAAAGTAACTTGAGATGACATTGGAGGAGTAAGGGACTGGTACATCCAGATGTATAAAAGTGGGGGAACTGCTTTTCTTTGTATTCTTTCCGAGTCCGGGTGAGGAGTGCATCTCTGCAGCCTGCTCTGTGGGAAGCAGCTGTTCAAATGTTTGTCTGCTGAGTAAATATCTCCATTCCATTTTTCATGCGAACATAAATAAAAATTTAACACCTCATCTTTTGTGTGTTGCAGCTTTTTGTCTATAAAACAGTATTTTTCTCGACAGGAGAGAGCATGTGTTTCATATCTTGTAGGATGCATTGTGCCGTTTTCCATCCAGCTTTGGCCTTGCAGATGCAGTGTGTTGAAGATGCCCATAAATTGTAACTTGATTAATAATGTTAGAAAATGCTCTATTCCATAGTTGATGCAGTTCATGGGGCCAGAGTGATTATATGGGGAGCCTGTGTGAATAAATCACCAAAGTTTCATGCTTGTTTAATGTATTTAATAAAGACATCTAATGCCCTTTGTGAAAAAGTGATACTCCACAAAGAAAACCACACATGGTTCTGATGAATCAAGTTGTGATTTCCTTATTGCAATAAAGGACAGATGAAGTTAACAGGTTAACCTTGTCTCTTAATTTTTCACACCGAACAGGCTTTTCGTAAAGATTGGCAGCATTTCAGTGCAAGAACATTTTTGATTGGACAGTCATAATTTGTTGCCCTATAAGGTGTACACAAGGTCAGAGTTGGGTAGTTAACCAAGAATCCTGTTCCTTTCATGTTGCTAAATTGAGCATAGGATATATGAGTTACTATGTGAGAGACCTTGGCTGGTCAGTAATGTGTAAAAACAATTCCCAAAGAATTGTTAACTCTTAAGACGGTGCCTTCAGAAGTAAAGGGATAACAAGGGCCAGCTGTGAGAGTACTTCATTAAACAATTGGGGCTTATTTGGGCCAGTCCTGCTTCATGTAAAACACTCAACTTTGGTTCTCCTCACAGTAAAGTACTCACCATACAGAATCTAGATGCATACCCTGCTTTAAAGATACTCCCAAAGTCCTCTGAAGAAAGTCATTGATACATATTTGTCTGGAAAAAGTTATGTAGACCATTTCTTAAGATCTTTTGCCCTGGCTAGAGTCAGTGTTCATGACTCCACTAGACTCGGAAAGAGTGGGTAAAAATGGAATTCATGGGAGAGTGGCACGGTGAAAACCAGTTTGCCAAGAAGAGCATTTGATGCTCATGTCATGTTTGCTGAAAAACACCTTCATAATCCCCCAGTCTTCTGGAGGAATATTCTATGAATTGATGAGTCAACAGTAGTGACAAAAAATTAAGTAATGAAAAAACATTGTTTTTTTGGGAGTCGGCATACAGTGTAGGTGGAATAATTGGAGAATGAGCTAACAGTGGTTAACAGTAGTAACATTTTTTAACTCCTAAAGAAGCAGAGCTCAGAAAACTGCACTGAGTTTAAAGCTCCACTAAATTTGGTGGTAATGAACACGGAATGTAGTTTAAAAAAAAAAATGAGAAACACACTTGTTTAAAAAGCATACTTGCCTCAGCACCTGAAAATACACTTCCAATACAACATCAGACATTTCCTCATAGACAAATGTTCTCAAATTGTACAATCATGTAACCTGGTGTATTGTACACCTCATGCTTCAGTATAGTGCTCTCAGAAAATGGCTTTTTTTCACATTATCAAATCATTACCTTTGAAATGGACTGAGCTGTTGTAAGCAAGAGTGGGCAATTAGTGAACAACCTTTCTGAAGATGTCTTTTTCTGTGGATGTAAACATTGATATAACTACTGTTGCTGCTGAAACTGTTCTTGTCTCATTGGGGCATTACACATTAACTAACCTGAGCTACTTAGAACTAAGAATGAAGAGAATATTTGATGGTTTATGTTTCTGTATATTGTATAAGTATATACAGTGTATTGAAGACTTGCAGTTCTTCGTACTCCAGTATGTGGCAGCACACACACAGTGTGTTGTAGTGTACTGTATATTAGTGTAGATCACAGGCTGCCAGTACAAGCTGAGCAGTGAATAACCAAATGTATAATTCCCAAAAGCAGCAGCACTGAAGTGATCATGTAAAACATCATGTATTAAAATTATTGGCTACATTTTGTAATTTTTGTACTTTTATCTCTTCAGAGAGGTTTTTTCATCTCCACGTTAATTTAAAAAATATATACCGCATAATAAACAGTAAAACAGATATACATCAGCACACACAAGCATATTCTGTAGAGATGTAGTTTGCAGATCTAGAGGTATGGATTGTTCAAATCAAACTGTCTTTAGATAATACAAGCTACATTGATTTCAAGTATTCTGTTCATGGATTCTGTGAAATTCATAACCTTATGGTCTTGGGCCACCGGTGCACTGCATTACTAATGGGAGAGAGCCTTTTTGAATTGTTAAATTACAATATTTCATTCAGTATGAATGCTTTGCAAACAAGTGAGATGTATTTATTAAAACATGTCTTCTGTATATCTCTGGTGTTCTGGTTCAGCTACCACTGAAAAAAATACAATCAGTGTTGCTTTGTACTACGATCGATTTAATTACTGTATATAGATATGCCTGTTTTGCACAGTTGGGATGGAATCTGGACCCTAGTCAGTTCACTCTGTTCTTTCCCAAAAAAAGTTCCCCTTCATCTGTCCAACTACTCCTTAAAAGAGCAGTATGCTGTCTGGCCATATTATGTTTAAAAAGCAGTGGGCTTCTCTAACATGTGACTCAGCACAAAGTAAACCACCCATCTGGGGCCTGAGACAGCCAGCTAAACTGAGTTGCTGGGCAAGACTTACAAATCATCAAACACAGGGCCTGTGTGTCCACATAGCGGTTGACACGGGGAATTCAGAATGGCTTGCTTTCCTTCCAGAAGACGCAGTTGTAACCTTTGAGCAGTAACCCGCTGACAGTAAGCCAAGCCCTTTTACCAACGTGACGTCACACCGCATATTCTGTCTTCCGTCCATTCTATAATTGCAAAACACAAGAAAAATAGAATGGGACTTTCCCTGTAAAAAAAACCCCAACTTGTTTGCTTTCAGTAATGTGGCAAAATCATTTGACACCCCTTTTGGATCATCTGAAAACAAAGCTATAGCAGGAACTCTGAAGCTGCAAATACCTCTCACTTATATACGTTACATTTCCTGATGTGGACCTGCTCAGATATGAATGTGAAGCACAGACAATGAAAACGAGCTGTGCGGTTCCCACAACTTTGCCTCGAAATTGTCATGAAAGAAGACATGGGACAGTCCCCAGCACGCTATCAGTCAGCCAACAGCCGCTCAATATATAAACTCTTTGTCTGCTTTCACATTTGATCATTTTCTTTTGAAGGCCACTAACACATTCACACTCCCTTGATAAATTGTGTTCAGCTGTCATGTGTAGATTTCAACTGAAGAACTTAACAAGTACAACCTCGCTGCAGGGCTCTCATATGGCTTCACAATGCATTCTATGCCTGATTACTTACCAGGCCAATCACCCAGTTTTGTAAGATATTGACAAAATACTTAATTGTCAGCTCCTGTGTCGCCTAAACTGGAATGTTGTTCCTGTCCCAACTTTTTCAGTGCAACTCAGAACAAATACAATATCAATCTGGTTTTCTTGTTTCTGAAGAGTACAAAAGAGAGGGGCATGGATTAACACTGTAAAACAGGAAGGATGTTTGCCAGCATCCAACTGCAGAATATGTACTCTAGCCTGGGGTAAATAATCACAGGTATGTACATGACTATACATATTTTTCCAAATACTTAGTCTGTGGACAGTTCAGGCCAGGGTCCTGAAATCCTGGACCTGAAGAAAACCCCTTCAAGCTGACCTTAAGGTTGACTACTGGTCTCATTCTGTAGATCCACAACTGTTGGGTCTGATGATTTTGGATTAGTGTAGTAGCAGAATAATATCCAACCCATCTCGCTTCTCAGAGTGGTAATAGCTAACTATCTAATCCAGTAGCTTCACAAAGCCTATCAGCTTCCCAATATTCTCAATATTTTTCTTCTGTCATATTCTTTTCCATTCAATTTCAAAGACATGTCGTTTCTTCATCATGTCTAGAGCACTAACCTAAGAACTAAAATGTATACTCTACATGGAACCAATTCATTCAATTGGTTACAAATAAAGACCCAAGTGAGACACCTGGAATGTTTGCAATAAATAGTGGTTTAAAGTACCTTTCTTTAATGTGTACCACAGATACAGCATATGACTGGTTGATAGGACATATTTTTGGATTCAAAAGGAACCCCAAGAAAGGATAAAGGCTTTGACGATAGGATACAGTTTGCAAAATGCAATAGAGAAAACAAAATCTCAAGGCTGGGGAGCTACAAACATTTTCTTTATCTCCTTGAATCACTATAATGTTGGTATCCAGGTTATTATAGTGGTACAAAGAGACTGAGGAGGCAATTATGGTGAGAACAGATGGTGGAGTCGAAGAGACAAAATGCGTAGCATAGGTTAAATGAACGAAAAGGTTTAATAGCTCACACTATATCAGAGCAGAATTTCAGACAATTGTGTTAAAGCAGCCAGGCTTGGCTTGTGGCCAAGATGAACAAAACATTTCAAGGTGATCTAATCCCTCACCATACAAGCAATAGCATTAGGAGTTTTCATTTATAGTAAGGTGACAGATGTGGTCATTCTTACAAGTTTATTATTTAACAGGCAGATTTTCACTCTTAACGTGCTTGGCTCAAGGAAAGCATTGCTGAGATTCTTCTTTTTTTCACAGACTTTTTATTCTATCTAAAATTCATTTTAGAATAAAGGACAGGAGATGGGTGGATCCATTAAGGAGAAGAGAGGAAGGGGAGAGATTGGGGAAAAGTGGGACAGCTGAAGGGCTAGAGAGAGGGAAGGGGGAGGGAGTGGTCACTTTTGTTCCGGAGCTCCAAGGAGGTGAAGGACATCAAACAGCAGAGGTCATGTCAAACACAGGGTGCCGGTTGTCTTGAGAGTGGGGAAATTCGAGAGTGGGTTTGTTCATGGAGAAGCAAGGAGCAGTAGCTGTACTGGCTTGGACCAAGTAAATTACTGTATGGTCAGATTGCCGTGTCTGGTTAGGAAAAGTCTAGTAAAGCCACTAAACAAGCAGAGTTGTTGTGATGGCAGTAGAGGGAGGAGCGTAGGAGATATGCAGGAACAGTGAAGACATTACACTGTATAAGTAAGGTCTAATATAAGGTCTAGCAACACCAAATGTGTAAAATGACTGCCTATGATGAGCCAGACACTAAATGTGAGAAACAGAACACAAAGGGGTTCTCAGAGTGTGAGATTTGAATTTGGCTGAGCTTCTGTTTATAAACAACACAATATTGCCACGTGAAAAAAAACAAAAAGGCTAAAAAGTTTTGATTGCTTTCAGCAATAGATACCCAATTTTTGGACAAAACCATATATTGTATAATTACTTATCTTATTTACAGTATATATCATGGGTCATATGTATTTGTGAAAGTTTTATGAACTCAAAATACCTTTTTTCTTTTCTGGCAATACTTGAAGTATTTTAGAGTTCTAATCCTTTC